CCAACCTTATGCAAACGTGAATACCGCAGGGCAGGTGGAACGAAGCAAAAGGAATTCTCTATGGGGCCACGAACCGTGTGAAGGCTGCGCCAAAACGGGGCGGGGCCGCCATGCGAACCTGGTCACCAGGGCCTTCGGTGGAGCTCCCGATGGAGCCACGAACCGTGTGAGGGGTGCGCCAAAATGGGGCGGGGCCGCCATGCGAACCCTGCCACTGGGGCCTTCGGTGGACCTCCCTATGGGGCAACGAACCGTGTGAGGGGTGCGCCAAAATGGGGCGGGGCCGCCATGCGAACCCTGCCGCTGGGGCCTTCGGTGGAGCTCACTGTGGGGCCATGTGGGGCCACGAACCGTGTGAGGGGTGCGTCAAAATGAGGCGGGGCCGCCATGCGAACCCTGCCGCTGGGGCCTTCGGTGGAGCTCCCTATGGGGCCGCGAACCGTGTGAGGGGTGCGCCAAAATGGGGCGGGGCCGCCATGCGAACCCTGCCACTGGGGCCTTCGCTGGAGCTATGGGGCCACGAACCGTGTGAGGGGTGCGCCAAAATGAGGCGGGGCCGCCATGCAAACCCTGCCACTGGGGCCTTCGGTGGAGCTCCCTATGGGGCAACGAACCGTGTGAGGGGTGCGCCAAAATGGGGCGGGGCCGCCATGCGAACCCTGCCGCTGCGGCCTTCGCTGGAGCTCCCTATGGGGCCACGAACCGTGTGAGGGGTGCGCCAAAATGAGGCGGGGCCGCCATGCGAACCCTGCCACTGGCGCCCTCGGTAGAGCTCCCTATGAGGCCGCGAACCGTGTGAGGGGCGTGCCGAAATGGGGCGGGGCCGCCATGCGAACCCTGCCACTGGGGCCCTCGGTGGAGCTCCCTATGGGGCAACGAAACGTGTGTGGGTGTGCCGAAATTTGGCGGGGCCGCCATGCGAACCCTGCCGCTGCGGCCTTCGCTGGAGCTCCCTATGGGGCCACGAACCGTGTGAGGGGTGCGCCAAAATGGGGCGGGGCCGCCATGCGAACCCTGCCACTGGGGCCTTCGGTGGAGCTCCCTATGGGGCAACGAACCGTGTGAGGGGTGCGCCAAAATGGGGCGGGGCCGCCATGCGAACCCTGCCGCTGGGGCCTTCGGTGGAGCTCACTGTGGGGCCATGTGGGGCCACGAACCGTGTGAGGGGTGCGTCAAAATGAGGCGGGGCCGCCATGCGAACCCTGCCGCCGGGGCCTTCGGTGGAGCTCCCTATGGGGCCGCGAACCGTGTGAGGGGTGCGCCAAAATGGGGCGGGGCCGCCAGGCGAACCCTGCCACTGGGGCCCTCGGTGGAGCTCCCTATGGGGCCACGAAACGTGTGAGGGTGTGCCGAAATTTGGCGGGGCCGCCATGCGAACCCTGCCACTGGCGCCTTCGGTGGAGCTCCCTATGGGGCCACGAACCGTGTGAGGGGTGACGGTGATGATGGCGGCGATGATGATGACTATGATGGTGATGATGACGGTCGTGAGGATTATGACGATTATGATGGTGATAACGGTGATGATGACAACGACGATGATGATGATGACGATGATGATGGTGGGAGGAGGGAGGAGGGGGGGAGGAGGAGAGGAGTGAGGACGCGGGCGCTGTCTCTTCAAAACGAGGACCCAACACCACAGGATGGTTGGGATGGTCCTCTCCGAGACACAAAAAAAACAACAAGTTCGAGCGATGCCAAGAGAGGAGGAGCAGAAACATGTCGGGAAACAAGGCCTTGATTTCTTTTGGGGGGGCACTGGGCGATCCGCTTCCCCTCACAGGGGACACTATCGCAACGGAAGTGCTCTAGAGTGGCCGGCAGGGTTCACGTCACCACAGTCAGGGGGAGGAGGAGGAGGAGGAGGAGGAGGAGGAGGAGGAGGAGGAGGAGGAGGAGGAGGAGGAGGAGGAGGAGGAGGAGGAGGAGCGAGGCTCGTGGCAGGCTCCGCACGAACTGCGAGGCCCGGATCGGGAGGCGAGCGCCCCGGACGACCAGCAAGGCGCCCCTACGCGTCGGTGGCGCCCGTCGCGGACTCGCCGATCTCGACCGAGTCCATCCAGCTGTCCAGCGCCTGCTGCCTGGACGCGGAGCACTCAGGGGTGAACTTCTCGATAGCCTCGTCGTGGCGCGACGTGCCCAGCAGCCCGCCGACCTGCCCGCCCGCTGCCAGGCTCGGCACCCCCGACATCTGCACGTTCAGGGCCTGCCGCGACGCCTGCGAGACCACCAGCGTGGCCCTGTGGACCCGGAGCTCGAACGCCTGCGCCTCCACCCGCTTGCCGAAGGCTTCGCGGCGGATCGCTCGCACCTGAACCCCGTCGCTCGTGGCTTCAGTCACGTCCTCGGCGGCGGACTCGCCCACGGAGATCCAGCGCCCCAGGGACGAGCCAGGGGACGTCACCTGGAGCGAGAACGGGTTCTGCATCAGGCTCCCCGCCGTGTTCGAGCCCGGGCGGTCGCGCGTCATCGGCCGCACGTGTATAGTCCTGCCCTCGAGCATCTCGCCGCTCACGACGACCGCCCTGATGTACAGCCCGCAGGGCTTCTCGCCGTCCCCGGTGATGTTCGCCTCCAGCTGGAAGCGGGCCGGCTGCTTCGCGTCGGGAGGTACACGAAGGAGGGTGTAGACCCCCGGCTGGTTCACGTTGAACTTCTCACCTGCCAGGTTCGTCAGGTGAGGATCGTCAGTTGCAGACACCGAGTCCCCGCTCATGTAATCGGCTGGAGGGGGCGTTGTCGAAGTCGTAGACGCATCAGCGGCCTGGCAGTCGGAAAGGAACGAGGAGCAGGTCGTCTTGCAGAACTCGTAGGCTTCGGCCGCGTACTGCCTTCGCCTCGACGTCATGGCGTAGGCGCAGCTGCTCACGCCGTCCGTGGTTAGCTGCTCGCAGGACTTGCCCGAACGCCGGCGCGTGCTGTCGTCGGGCGGGCACACGGCCGTCGGCCCCGGAGTCGGTGACGGCGTCGCGCCCAGGGACACCTGGCAGCCGACGTAGGCGGAGCAGGTGGTCTGGCAGTAGTCCCAGGCCTCCCCCCCGTAGTAGCGGCGGCGCGACTGCGACGCGATCCTGCAGCTGCTCTGGCCGTTTGAGTGCATCTGGGTGCAGCTCTTCCCAGAGCGCCGACGGGACGGGTCGTCCGGCTCGCACATGGGCTGGGCGTCGCACGCGTCGCAGGCCTCCGGGCACGCCAGCTCGACAAGGAGCCCGTCGGTGGGGTCCTGGCACAGCGCCGGGACTGCAGCGTCGGAGCAGTCGGACGGCGCCGGGGAGCCGCCGCTGAGCACGGTCGGGAGCACCTGGTCGTAGTTGGAGCAGTTCGCTGGCGGGCACTGGTCGCAGACCAGCGGGCAGGCCAGCTGCATCGCCATGCCGTGGATCTCGTGCTGGCACAGCTCCCCCACCTGGCTGCCGCTGCACCCGGTGAGCGTCTCGCCCGCACGCGACGCAACCTCTACTGCGGCCTGGTCGTGGTTGAGGCACGTGCCTGCACACTTGCAGCCGTTGCAGTGGGCCTCCATCGATCGAACCTGGATCTGGAAGTACGCGCCCATGTGATACAAGTGGCCCGACGAATTCACAAGCACCTCGATCGAGTGGCCGCCCGCGCTCACGAAGATGGTATTCGCACGCGCGGACACCTTGCACATGTCGCACTGGCTGACGATGCATGCTTCCCCTCCAAAGCCTTCGCCTGCGGTCAGCGAGGCCACGTGAGCGCCGTCAAGGAAGACGTGGCAGTGCTCGTAATGAGCCTGCGCCCTCCCGGACACGTCCAGGAGCAGCTCGGACGCCACGGGCGCGGTGAAGTTCAGGACCGCGACGCCCATGGTGGAGAAGTTCGCCGAGGCGTTGCCGACGCAGTCCGCGTTGTTGACGAAGTCGTAGCGCACATAGTGCTCATTGTACGACCAGCTGCCACCGTCCGTGGACTGCGTCTGCCAGTGGCTCTCGCCGATCGGCGCGCAGCACCCGTCGACGACCTGCTGCGACGAGCACTGGGGGGAGCCGGCGAGCATCTGCTGCATGTCGGACGACGACATGCCAGCCGTGTTCAGCAGCTGCGACCGTCCGTGCGGGTCGTTCCTCCGCCCATGCTCGAGCGTCAGAGGGGTCTCTGACACATCCGTACGTTCGGGGACCTCCGGCACCACGGTCGCCGCCGCGGGCAGGTAGGCCTGCTGGTACAGGACGTCGTCAACGTAAGAGAACACTTCTTCCTGGCCCCAGCTGCACATGCTGCATGTGAACCAAAAGACCCATGTGGCTGGTAAAGGTAGCCCCCTGCCTGGGACCATCCTCCGAAATAAAGATGAATACGCAGCCTCACATCTACGGGCCCCTCGTGATCATAAGAATTAGAACGTATAAAACTGCAGGCTTGGCGCAACAGATATGTTTGCTTGAGCCCGCGCTTGAGCCAAAATGCACTTCCGGGGACCTCGCATGGCCGTTTTGGGTCTGTGCTGGGAGCCCTTGGGGGGCCTCTTGGTTCCATTATGGGCTGTCTTGGGGCTCTCGTGGGCGATCGTAGGGCCCGGCTCGGCCGTCTTGAAGCTTTCTTGGGGGCCCATTGGGGCGTCTGGAGGCGATCTCGGGGGCTTTGCAACCGTCTTGAAAGCTGATGAAATCCGAAAGGCGAACATGCTAAAATTGTGTAAGTATTACGCAGGGAATGAGACGATTGTTGTGCTTTGAAGGCCCCTTGAAAAGCTTCTCGGGGTGCCTTGGGCGTCTTTTGGGCCGTCCTGACGCAATTGAAGTCCCTCTTGGAGCGCTCTTGTGCTGTCTGGGGCCTCCCATGAGCCTTTTCTGATGACCCCTCGGATCGCTCTGGGTCTGCTGGGAAGGCGCTTGTGGAGACCCGGAAAGCCGGGTGACCTTTTCCAAGGACGTCCAGATCCCGGGGGTCCAGTTTTTGGTACGGAGGAGGAGGAGGAGGAGGAGGAGGAGGAGGAGGAGGAGGAGAGGAGGAGGCGGGGAAGGAAACGAGGCCTTGAATGGACCCCTGGTCCGCCAGCGAGAACAGGACCACCAGAAGCGCCTCCATGAGGGGCGTCGCCTTGTAGGCCTGGTGGGACCTGCGCCGCCCGCGCACGCCCCCGGCCCACGTGCCTCATCGCCGATGCGCTGCAGTCCTGCTGCGTTTAGGTCGGGCCTGTCCTCCTGCAGGCGGATTTTGGAAGAATCGCATACGTAGTCAAACAACTGTCAAAGACGAGCCAAAGATGCACGAAGCATCGTCCCCCAAGTATTTGTTGCTACTTTCTTGAATGCTCCTCCCTTAGAGGGGCATGCACGACTTGGTGCTATGTTTCACCCTCCCCCGCCCTTCCTGGCTTCCCCTTCCTCCCGCCGTCTCCCTCACCCACGGCTCATCCGCGGCCCGGGCACTCGTCCATCTTTTTGGAGGTGGGTGGCCACCAGGGTTAAGTCGGGCGTGTCCCACTACAGGCAGATGTTGGACGAAGAATGAGAAATACCCCCAACATTTTATCAATAGCCAAAAAATAGTCAATCGATCGTCCCCAGACTATTTCTGGACAATTTTTGTGCATCCTCCTGTAGAGGGACAGGCCCGACTTAACACCAGGGTCGGGCGTGTCTGCCGAGGTCCCCAGCCGCGCCAAGAAGAGTGCGTGCCCATCCAAGCGTTGTCTTCCCGGCAGGGGGGAGGAAGGAAAGACGAGGGAACAGCCCGTCCTCTTCGCTTTCGCCCCTCAGGCCCTTGCCTCGATTCGCTCTTCGGGCCACGCCGGCTCCGAGGGGTCCACCTCTGCTGAACTCCTGCACCCTAATCTCAACTCTCGCTCACTCTCCCTCCCTCCCTCCCTCCTTCTCTCTCATTCTCGGTCTCTCTCTCTCTCTCTCCCTCTCGCTCTCCCCCTCGCTCCCTCTCCCCCTCTCTCCCCTCCTCACCCCCTCTCTCCGCAGCCATTTTGGCTCCAGCCTCGGCTCCGAGGATCTTCGTATCCCTGCGAGCCAGGGGGCTGGCCCCCCCGAGGTCGGTCCACTCGGCTGGACCTCCCGCGGCACGGGGAAGCCGACTGGCACCTGCGTTGCTCCTCCCCCTTCACGCGCCGCGCGCCGCCGTGCTGCTTCACCCCTCGCTCCGCCGCTGCTGGGCCCGCGCGCCATGCAGGCCTGCGCGCAGCCCGCCGAGGGACTGCCTCGAGCCTGCCGCTCTTCGGCCTCCCTGCTCTTCTACGCTTAGGTCGGGCATGTCCTCCTACTGGCGGACCTAGGACGAAACATTAAAAAAACTGTCAAAACAGCTACCCCCCAAAAATAGTCCCCAGACTATGTTTCAAAAACTACGTTTGAACTTTCCTCCTGAAGAGGGGCAGGCCCGATTGAACGCCAAGACTGTCGTGCTGGCCCACCTCGCCTCACGCAGAGGCCGAGGGCGCACGCACGCTGCGGACGCCCCGGCGATGCCCGCGGAGACGCGCGTCGGGGCCATGCCCTGGCGCCCCCCGCGCGCAGGATCCGGGGCCGGCCGCGCCCTGTGCCAGAGTCGCTGGCGCCTGGGCCCTGCCGCCCCTTCGAAGGGGGCAGAAGGTCCACCCCCAGAAGGATCACCCCAACACGGGCGAAGGGGGGGATAGCAAAGGGGGGGCTTGAGAATCAGCTCACGCAGCTGACTTTCTCGGCGCCTCCCGGCTCTGGGAGGCGCCCATGTGTCGAGGAATGGGCCCCTCGGTGGGGCCGAAACCAGCTGCATGCAGCAGATTTCGTAACCCCCCCTTTCCCCTTTCCCAGTCCCCCCCTTTCGTCCGGCCCGAGTCTGGCAGTAACGCACCGCACCCGGAGGAGTCGGACAGGGCGGGGGCTGCCTGGCAGGCGACCAGGGCCACTTTTCGGGAAGCGCCGGTGGTCGGCGGGTCCGGGCGGTGGCTCCTCCCTGGACCCTCCAGGGAGGAGCCACCGCTGCGAGGGAAGGCTCGTGCTCCACCGGCGCCAGCGCTCTCTGCCTCCTCACTGCCCTGCCAGCCGCCGCCTCCTCGGGCGGGGGGGCCCGCCCGCCCAGGAAGCCGCCCCTCCTGGCGGCGCGCACAGAGGAGGGTGGGGGGGAGGGGGGAGGGCTTCTCAGCAGGAGGCTGCTTCTCAGAAGGCGCCGGCCTTGCATCTGCAGATAAAGGCCCGCGCCTTCAACGAAGCAGGGGTGCTTCTATGGAGCCCTCCTCCCTCCCCCCACCCCCCTCTGCGCGTGGCTGAGGGTCGATGCGACCCTGGCCCTGCAGGATCCTGCGAGATTTGGCGCTCTGACTGACGCCCAGCTGCATTGAGCCCCGCCTCTTGTGAGGAAGCCAAAAAGGTACCGATACCGCTACTGCGCGGACCTCTCCCGGTGTGCGTTCTGACCAGGATTTCGAGGCGAGTCCAGCGGTGGCGCCGAGGGCCTCCCTGGAGGCCAGGAGAGCGGGAAACCGGCGAGGGGTTAAAAACATGGGTACCTTTCCTCCTCCGATCTTGAGCCCCGGCCCATGTCAGTCACACGCCGGACGCGTCCCGGGCTCCTGCTTGAAGCGCCTCAGTCGCTCCGAGCACAGTTGCGGAGCGGAGCCGCGCGCGGCGCTGGCACCCGCGACGGCAGACACACCCCTGTCCGATCTGGTCTCTCTCACCCTCCCTGTTTCTCCCTCTCTCTTTTTTCTCTGTCTCTCTCTCTCTCTCTCTCTTTCGGCCATGTACTTTCTCCCCCCCGATGAGCTTGCACCTGAGGGTTCTCGGCTGTTCTCCAAGCTCCTCGGGGAGCCGCCGAAACAACGGCTTTGGCCATCGCGGGTTCCCGCCTTCCCTTCCGCGGGCGTCACAGAATCCACCTCGCTCCGGCCACCCCCCAAAAAACAAAGACATGCACACGTGTATGAAACATGAAGCGCGCGCGAGTGCAGCCGTGTACAGAAAGAGTGCCGTTGCACGCCCAGGGTCGGGCCCCAACTGCGGAGCACCGCCCGAGTTCCCGAAGCAACCGTCGGCCCTCGCAGCTGCGAAAAAGGCAGCAACCATCACAAACATGATTGCATTGTAGTGTGTGCTGCGCTCTCTCTCCCTCTCTCTCTCTCTCTCCTTCTGCCCGGAATTGGCTGCAGAATGACGAGCACGTATCGAAACAAGAAAGAAAGATCTCTCTTCATAGAGAGAGAGCACAGAGATAGAGGGAGAGACAGCGCGAGAGAGAGAGAGAGAGAGAAAAAAGCGATATCAAAAAACGACAGACAAAAACGACAAACACGCACAAAGACACACACACACACGCACGCACACACGCCCTCACGCACGCACGCACACACGCAGAGGCACACATAGACACACAGAGACACACAAAGAACAGAGATACACAGAGACACGTACAGAGACACAGAGACACACAGAGACACACAGAGACACACAGAGACACACAGAGACACACAAAGACACACACAGAGACACCCAGAGACACCCAGAGACACCCAGAGACACCCAGAGACACACAAAGACACCCAGAGACACCCAGAGACACCCAGAGACACACAGAGACATACAGAGACACCCAGAGACACCCAGAGACACCCAGAGAAACCCAGAGACACCCAGAGACACCCAGAGAAAGCCAGAGACACCCAGAGACACTCAGAGACACCCAGAGACACCCAGAGACACCCAGAGGCACCCAGAGAAACCCAGAGACACCCAGAGACACCCAGAGACACACAGAGACACCCAGAGACACACAGAGACACACAGAGACACACAGAGACACACAGAGACACACAGAGACACACAGAGACACACCTACACACCTACACACCTACACACCTACACACCTACACACCGACACACCGACACACCGACACACCTACACACGCACACGCACACGCACACCCCCACACCCCCACACCCCGACACCCCGACACCCCGACACCCCGACACCCCGACCCCCCCCACACCCCCACACCCCCACACCCCACACCCCCACACCCCCACACAAACACACGAACACACGAACACACGAACACACGAACACACGAACACACGAACACACACACACACGAACACAAACACACACACACACGAACACACGAACACACGAACACACACACACACACGAACACAAACACACACACACACACACACACGAACACCACACACAAGAACACACACACACCAGACATCACACACACACACACAAACACACTTTTCCTCCGACACGTCAGTGTGTTGTCGCCAGGGGTGATGGCGTGCTTTGGACACTGTGTAGAGCAGTCCTCCATTTCAAACAGTGACGTATACGCACACGCGCGAAGAGAATGCCGAACGGGTGAGTTGCATCCAGCTTACCTTTCTTTGTGGCAATGCGTATTGTGCGGTTTCAGCAGTGGAGCCACGCCCGCCTGACCCTAACATGCATCGCAACGGGGAGACTTCTCGACACCCACCCAGTCACAAGAAAGAACCATCTGGTCAGTGTGACAATTGTGGCCTGGGCAACTGTGAGGCGAAGGAGGAGGAGGAGGAGGATGAGGAAAAAGAGAGGGCACATGAGCGCGAAAGACCCGACACTTCGACCACCTCGCTTTTTATCGCGACGTGGACCTCCAGAAGTCTGATCCCCTTTCCCAAGGCCTGTTTTCCATTCTGGCCCGCATCTTGACGATTCGGGGGCCCAGCGAGGTCCCCAAGAGGCTGAAACTTGTGGGAAGCCTTCCGCCGTGATTTCTTCGCAACGCGAGGGAGGACGGAGGAGGACGAGGAGGAACAGCAGCAGCAATCGGCAGTTGAGGGGGAACGGTCGGGGGAGGACCCGCTCAGGGGGGGAACCATCGAGCTGCAATCGGCGGCGAATCGCCGACAGATCGGCGATAGGCACACGATAGCGCGACACCGCACATTCCTGGGCCGGCCTGAGCGAAGTATCAGGCCCCAGTGGGCGATGCGTGGGCGAGTCGAACCCACCGCTACACTCGAACCCACCGCTGGACAGCCGAACCCACCGCTACAGTCGAACCTAAGCCAGAAGAACGTCCTTCAAGAACATGAAACCCTCCGCCGTCTAACACACCCCGAATCATAAGATCACCGAGGAGGCCCTTCACCAGGATGCAGGATAACACCAAACAGACACATCAGGGTACCCCCCCCCGAACCGACATTCGACCTTATGCCTCGGTCCGACTGCTCCCCCGATCAGGAGCTCCACTCCCGACCTGGTGTGATCCAGCGGATCCTGGCTGGGCGTGGGGATGGTTTTCCCTCGTGCTCTCGGGGGCCACCCCCCGCCAGGACCCCTGGATCGCGAGGTCGGGAGAAGGGGCCCTGGCGGGGGGTCGGGTTCTGCTGTCCTCAGACCGGGAGTCGGTGCGCCCCCCCCTCCGGCCCCCGTGAGCCTGCCCCCTCCATCGTTATCCTCGAGGCAGCCGCGGCAGCAGAGACCCCCCCACCCCTCCAGAGGCGGTGGGCGCCGGCGGTGACGCCGACGCCGCTCAGGGGCCACAGCGAGAACGCCAGCAGGCCCGTGCGCCAGCCCACGCGGCCGCGCAGGCACAGGGCCAGGCCCCTGGCGCCACCCCCTCCCGCTTCCCGGGGCTCGAGCTGAGCAGTGCCTCTCGTTCTGTGTTCGGCCTGCCTCTGCTGCCAAGCGGCGTCCAAACGGAGGCGGTCCACGGCATCGCCCAGACACCGCGCAGCTCGAGCCCTGCCCCTCCCTTGCTCCCTGGGGAGGGGGGCAGGGAGGGGAGGCCCTCCACCTTCGCTTCGGCGGGGAGGGGGCAGGGAGGGGAGGCCTTCTACCTTCGCTTCGGCGGGGAGGGGGCAGGGAGGGGAGGCCTCGGCCTTCGCTTCGCGGGGCGGTCGAGGGCGAGCTGACTCAGACAGCAACCCAAGCGGCTTGCCATCGCGATTATCCAAGATGCTCCACGAAGGTCCTCGCCGAGAAAACATGCACACGTCCGAGCGATACAAAGTGGAGGCGTTGACCTTCGCTTCGTGGGGAGATCTGAGGGAGGCGGGCCGAAGTAGCCAGCGACCCAAAGGCTCAAACAAAGAGAGCCCATGCCAACGCGGCTCCGCCGAACCCGAGGACGATGGAGGAAAGAATCCGAGGGGGTGAAGAGGCGGGACCCTTTGTGGGGGAGGGAACGGGGAGGCGGGGAGGGAACGGGGAAGGGGAAGAGAGGGGGGGGGAGAGAACCAGGCAGGAGAACACGGGGCATAATCGGGGCAGAGACATGGCACGAGCTGGCACCCCAACCCCCGCCCCTGGCGCACGTGGCGCGCCAGGGGCGGCCTCCAGCGCCCTGGGGGGTCCAGCGATGTCCGCGTGGGCATCGACGAGGCTGTGTGCTATGCCGACGTCCGTCGCTCCAAGGACGAGCGAGTCCAATGGTCTATGTTTGGCGGCGAGCGAGGGGGGGAAGTGAGAAGGAGAAGGCCTTCTCAGAAGGCGGCGGGACTTCTCAGGAGCCCTCGCGCCTTCTGAGAAGTTTTTTCTGTCTTCGGGGAAGGCTTAGACAACTTCTCAGAAGGCTGATGGACTTCCGAGCCGTCTGAGAGGGCCCGCCCCTTCTCACTTCCCCCCCTCGCTCGCCGCCGATATGTAGCCAGCGAAAGCCAACTGGGGGGGGCCACGAGCTGCAAGAGCGGCCACCCTAGCCGCGGGGTGTGTCACCGCTTAGGAGATTACCCGTGCGCGGGTGACCCCCGGCTTTGAGATTTTTCAGGGCTGTTGTACGGAGGCAGCTAATTTTCCAATTGATTCACCACCCCCTCAGGGTTCGCGTGCGTGAATACGCCTATTTCATCAAACCTACCCCGAGGATCGCGGCCCTACAAGGAGTTCCACCGGATGTTCCAGTGGCAGGACTCGCATGCGTGACTGCGCCCATGTCAGCACAGTCCTCACGAGGATCGTGGCCCCATATGGGGGCTCCACCGACGGCCCCAGTGGCAAGGTGCGCACCCTGTATAAGGATCGCGGCCCCACAGAGAGCCCTACCTAAGACCCAATGGCAGGGCTAGCATGCGTAATCGCGCCCATTTCGGCACATCCCACACGACGATCATAGCCACATAGGGAGCTCCACCGACGGCTCCATAGGCACGGCTCGCATGCGTGCTTGCGCCCATTTCGGCGCACCCCTCACAAGGATCGCGGCCCGATAGGGATCTCGACCTCAGTGACACGGCTCGCATCTGTAACTGCGCCCATTTCGGCAAACCCTTCACGAGGATCGTGGCCACATTGGAAGCTCCACCGACGGCCCCAGTGGCGTGGATCGCATGCAAGCCTGCGCCCATTTCGGCGCACCCCTCACAAGAATTGCGGCCCCATAGGGTGCCCCATCGAAGGCCCTTGTTGCAAGGCTCGCATGCGCAACCGCGCCCATTTCACGAGTATCGTGCCCCCCTGGGGGGCTTCGAAAAGGCCGCAGTTACAGGGCTCGTGAAAGCACACATTTCGGCACACTCCTCACGAGGATCGCGGCCTCATAGGGAGTTCCACCGAAGGCCCTGGTGGCAGGGCTCGCATGCGTGATTGCACCCATGTCGGCACACCCTTCACGAAGATCGCGGCCCATAGGAAGCTCCACCGAAAGCCCCAGTGGCAGGGTTCGCATGTCCAACTGCGCCGATTTCGGCGCACTCCTCACAAGGCTTGCGGCCCCATAGGGAGCTCCATCGAGCGCCCTCGTTGCAAGGCTCGCATGCGCAACTGCGCCCATTTCATGAGACTCGTGCCCCACAGGGGGCTTCGCAGAAGGCCCCAGTGGCATGGCTTGTGACTGCATCCATTTCGGCACACTCCTCACGAGGATAGCGGCCCCATAGGGAGCTCCACCGAAAGCCCCAGTGGCAAGGCTCGCATGCGCAATTGCGCCCATTTCGGACCCCCCCTCACGCGTTTCGTGCCCCCTCCCTTCCCCTCTCGGGAGCTCCACGGAATCGCGCGGGACCAGGCCACGCCGACAGACGCGCAAACCAACCGTGCTGGGCTACATTCATATGTAAACCGATACGCCTGACCCCTGTGCCCACATCAAAATCATCGCTTCGTCATTTCACCCGCGCCCTGGTCATTTTGCTCGCCCCCTTCCTCAGGTTCGACCTATCCTGCGGCACTCGCGCCTGCAAATCGTTGGATGATTGGGATTTCTCGTCGAACTAATTCAAGTGTTAGGGGCGAATGTCGGCCAGGGATGGGAGGGAAACGCAGGGCGGGACAAGGGGTGGGCGGAGGGGGACGCGGAGGGGAAGGAAACGAGGCCAGAAGGGACGCAGCCGGAGCAACGAACGTGGGAGCGATCCCCTCCCCTTGTTGCGTTCCCTCCCTTTCCCCAGGGAGGAGTTCACAATGAGAGAAACTATCCTCTCGTTCCCGTGAAATCTCGATCCTGTTTCTTCTCCCCACGCTTGTTCACGTCTCTTTCCGCCTGCTCACTTCCCTGCCCCTCCTAATCTGTGTCACCCTTTTCCCCACCAGCCGTGATATCCACATAGATCGTTACCCGCCAAAACCTGCTACGCTTGTTGGCGGTATTCGCAAGATGCCTGCACGTATTGTTGGACTCATTCGTAATCTATCTATCTATCTATACATATATATATATATATATGTATTATGCGCGTGTGTGTGTCTGTGTGTGCGTGTGTGTTCTGCTTTATCGCAGTACTCTCGTCCTCCATCTCAGCAAACTCCTTCCAACTCTTGCTCCGCCTCTGCCCCCTGCCTCCTCTTCCGTCTCATTCTCCTCCTTTTCCTCCTCCCCGTCCCACCTCTTCGTCCTCCTTGTCTTCCTCTTCTTCTTCTTCGGGAGTTCACCGCGAGCTCCTCGAAGCAGGCACGGCGAGCGAAACGATGAGAGGATTCAACGGGACCAATGAGCACCCTCCTGCTTACATGGCCGAGTCTTATAACTTGGCGGCAATATGCCAACTGCCAAAGCCTTGCACCCCGCTCGAGTCCTGGGATCGCACGGCCTGGTCAGCTTCTGCGCTTTAGCGGGAACGGGGCCTCTTTCTCTAATCAAGGCTGGAACGATGGGACCCGCATACTACAACCTTCGCGCCAGCAAACACCACTCTTGGCTCGAATTCGATGAGGCTGGTGCAAGCTCTCGGGCATTCCACAGCAGCTCCCCCCCCGAGCCGCTCCACCACCGGTCCCTTCTCGGCCCCCGTCCCGCACCCACGACAGCGCCAGCCCCGACGGTCTCGGACAGGCGAGTGGGCGGAGGCCTGACGGGCCTCCTTCGCTGCCTCCGCCTCCTCCAGAGGGCCAGAAATCTACCCCACAATAACCACCCCGACACGCGAAGCCGTTTACTAAACACCCCCACTGAGGGAATCGAACAGGGCAGGGCTGTTTAGTAAACGCCCAAGGCCGTTTAGCAGGCGCCAATTGTCCGGTCCGGGTGGTTCTTGCTCCCTTCAGTAGAGAGCACTGGAATTCGTGGCCACATCCATTGCGACGGCCTCTGATTGCTCCAGAACCTGGGAAGCAACTGCGGTCCGCCTCAATGAGGCGGCCAGCGCTCTCTGACGGAACCTGGCACTCGCGGGCGGACTCCTCCGCTCCCTTGTTGGCTGTTCCGTCGGCCAGCCAGTAGGTTCGAGGGGCGCCTTGACGGCCTTCACTATCTGGGAGCGCGTGAGCCTAAACTTTGATCGTCCTGACTGAGCGTCCTTCTGCAAACTTCCAGAACATTCGCCATGCAAAACGGCTTGCGCTGTGCTGGTGTCTGGGGCCTTTTACCCAACACATTCTCACAACGCAAACACTATCAACAACAAAGGTGAGGTCCCCTCCCGTGTGCCTCAGAGCCCCCGTGGCCCCGTTGTGCTCCACACAGGTCACTGATTGCTTGAAGCCTGGGACAGGGGTCCTCTGCCCCAGGCCACTAGGCTGGAGTCTCTGATCACACTGAAGCCCAGGCGCATAATGCAGGCGCATCGACAGAGGCGGGTTCTGCAAAACAAATGCATCCCGAGCCGTCGGACCCCGCGATATCCCCGTCCTGCAGGCGAAACGGTCCCGGCTGCAGGAAGCCCGAAAACACAATTGGCGCACATCAACGATTGTATCAGCAATCTCCTGGGTCCAGAGACGGGGGCAGCCTTCGGAACCAGACAATCGTGGCCTCGTCTACCCCCTCCCTGGTCCTCCGCCTCCTCCTTCTCCTCCTCCTCTCCCCTCTTCGTCCTTCTCCTCTTCTTCCTCCTCCTCCTCCTCCCGTTTTGGATTCGCCCCCTGGGCGGAGGCCGAAATCTCAGACCTCCGAGTTCTGGCGCGCCGCAAAGCGGTGGCCGCGGCTCGCTGGGGCACACCCCTCACGAGGATCGTGGCCCCATGGGGCGCTCCACCGAAGGCCCCAGTGGCAGGGCTCGCAAGCGTGATTGCACCCATGTCGGCTTACCCCTCATGTGGATCGTGGCCCGACGGATCCACGGATCTGGCGCGTAGGCAACAGACCCATGGCTCGGGGAAACCGCCCCCCGAGCCCTGCAGCCGGTGTCGCCCGATTCAGCGACGGAGCGCGTCGATCTTTGTGTGACAACGGGACGAGTCACAAATCTACGCGTCTGAATCCATGCTTGGCGTTCCTTTCCTCGATCACGGCAGCGCAACCATGGATGAACGAGGCGTGGATGAGCGCCTGGTCCCGCTCTACAGAATCGGCGCTCCCCGTCGCCAAACGAGGCGGCACTGGCCTCACTTTTCGGGGGAGACCTTCCCCGACCCGTAGATCGCCCCGCGCGCCAAATCCACGGATCCCTGATCCATGTGCGCCCGACCCAGCTCCGTGCTTACACTGCTCCATCTCCCGACCCTGAACATTGTTGAATCGACCCATATCCCCACTGGAATGGCCTGGGCCCCAGTGGCAGATCTACCCCGCTAGATGGGGGTGTAGGTCGTTTCCTTCGGGCCTCCAGGGTGTGCT